AAACTAATTTTATCCTAGACTACATTACTAAAATAATTAAATGTAAATGTTCCTGTAACTATAGGATACAATATGAATTATTGTCCTATTTTGGCTGCACATAAAGCAAGTACGCATCAGCATTTCTATCTTGAATTTACAAATCTTAAGCCGCTGACAAATGCTGCAGCGATTGATATAAAGCCAACTCAAGATATGCTCTTCCTGAGCCAGAAGAACCGTCTCCAATTTGCCTAATTCTTGCAGAAAACGACATGTTACAATTAGTGAATCTGCTAGCTGGCCAACCCCAAAACAAACAGAATTCACCATTTCCAGTAATACTGAATCCTGAACTTCCAGATGTATAAATGACAATTAACACAAATGATAAAGAATGTAAAAGCCGCATTGTACCTCTCACTAAGTCCTGTCAATGTATTATCTCATACAATGTTTTTTGTAGAATACAATTTTGGTATAAAAATTACCTACAGCAAAGCTTTGAAATGGAATATGTTGAAAGATAGGTTTACACTAAGTTTTTGTAAATTTACATTGTTTTTAGATTCTATTAAGAACAAAATGTTATGTTTTGGAATAGAGTGACATTATTTTCACTTCTAAGTTGTGTCAACAAGTGAAAAATTAGAATAACTGGAATCTAATGAAACAGTCACCACAATTCCAAGATGGATATTTCAGAGGGAAACACTGCAGCATCGTACAAAAAACACTAAATTATAATATAGGTCTTGCAAAATGAGTGCTTAAACCTGGAGGAGCATTAAGCACTAGTACACATTGAGCAAAAAATACCACCTGCCTACAACAAAACACTAGATAATTAAGAAAAATATTAAAATAAAGATGCTTTACAGTTAAACTGTGATGCTGAAGGTTAACCCAGCATCCACTACCAATTCTCTCTCCACACGAATTTAGTGTCAATTTCAGAACATAGGAGCTTGACTGCGATATTAATCTCAGTATTTAAGAATGCATTGGGCTTAGGTAATATGGTTGGTGATTTCAAAAACTGCTGGTCTTGGTCTAAAGGATCAGCATTAGTTCCAAACTATGTCATTAATATTCTCTGCAGTGTCTGCAATTTTCTAAATATCTTTATTACATTTCTCATTAAAAGAGACTGGGGAGCAGTATTCCTCCTCCTCAGAAGAGCTGCAATTACCTCTACAAATCGGGTTATGTAAACAAGCAGCTGAACTTCAAACACATTACTTACAAGTTACTTAATTGTGAACAATTCCTGGATATATAAAATTATTTTTTATTATTGAGAAGTTAGGTAAAGGGTCAGGATCCATATTGCAGTACACTACTAAGGTTGAAAATCCCCAAATCAGCTAAGTGATACCAAGCTTGGGCTTTTAAACACTTGTATTTTATAGGAGAGGGGAAGATTTGAAGTCCCTGCATAGAATCAATGAATAAAAGAAATTGTGATGAGTTTTGGTTTTACAAGCTTCCTTTGCTTTGCCAAATTCTGTATGTTCACATTTTTGTTATACTGGGATGAGCTTGCTAGCTGCATGCAGTCGGTTGAACTCAGTTTCTCAAAGGAATCAATGTTGCAGGAATCAATGAAACGTTGGCCAAGTTTCCTTACTCCACACGCCTCTGTTTACCTAGCAGTAAGTAGGAACGGGATGTTAGTCGATTTACAAATTGCTTTTCTGGGGGTAATAATTCCTTAAAAAGTAATAATTTGGTCACTTTTCCAGGGTTAATAATCCAATCAAATTTTAAAAATAAATAAATAATTTGGTCACTCAATCCGCAACTGTTTGTGGGACACTGCTGTGCGCACTCGGCTGCTGCATTTTGCCCACAAAATAAACAGTCAATTCACTTTACAGTATATTCAGTGAAGCGCTTTGAGACGTCTAGAAGGCATGATAAGGCAGTAAATCAAATGCAAGGATTATTATTATTACAGCAAATAGAAGCAGGGTGATGTCCATGGGAGGTTTCAAGGAACAAAACGAAAGCTCAAAAAAAAGTTGTTATAGAGAGAATATGGAGCCTAGAGGTGAGGGAAAGATCACTAATCAGACAGTAAGTCTGTCTTGCACTCTGTCTAGCAGTGTTAAAAGTGCCTCCCACGGCTGAGAATAGTATTCCAGTTTTGGATGAACTTGGCTTTATAGTTTGGTTCTTCAAAGAAAAATAAATATTTTGATGAAAGATGAAACCAAGCTTCTTGCGAGGCTGCTTTAGCAATAAGGGATGTGAGATTTTCACTTGAAACCAGAGGAGACAGGGAGGCTAACAATGGATGAGGTGTGCAGCCACTGAAGGCAAAGGGTAGTAGTAATTGGTCAGGTGTACAAGATACATGAAAAAACTGTCTGAGAAACTGCCATTGCCTCCAAAGTTCATAGGTGAGATCAAAACATAATAATTGAGCCAATGCAATAAGAGATGGTTTGTTCACTCAGGGTTGTGGCTTGAAGGAAGTTTGCGAATGTAGAGTTGATTCATCGGCAAAATAGTGGATAGGATTGTATGATGAGTGGAGGAGGTCATTGATGTGGAGAGTAAACAAAATGGGATGGAGAATAGAGCACTGGAGAAAAAGATCGCCTAATTACTGTGGATCCCACCTATTGTGCTGCTACTGAATCATTTTTTATACGTAGAATCCTTACATTACCATTTCACTGTATGAAAAACCTTCAATACAAGTGCTCATTTGAGGGGCCTGAAATACAATTAGCCCATATCAAAAACAAGAGTGATATAAAAGGCAGCATTACATAGGAGTTAATAAGGTGGAGTGGGGAAGAGACAAAGTAAATGTCACTTTGTCGAAATTTTCATGAATGTTGGTTCACAGTCATTATTCTACTCATTGGTTTTGGTCAAATAAATATTAAGAATCCCTTGGAGCAAATGGGCAAACACATTGTCCTTTTAACTCTGAGACCGCGTTTGGATCCAGTCCAAACTGATGGATAGAAACATTTCTTCCTCCGCTGTTTGTAGAGGTCTAATGTGAAACAAACGCAGTCACAATTTTTAATTTCTTCAATTTTAACTAGCACTAAAAGAAAACACAAGACATTTCAGTATTTTCTTCAATGTATATGATAAAATTTCTATACATATATTATGTAATTCTGTGCTACAGGATTATGAAATCAGTGTGATGCTGTTGTATCAGGGTGTTTGTTACTGAGTGACAGGATGTAGGTTGTAGGTTGCTGCCACAGTTCCCAACACACTGAGACCCTGATGGCAGAAAGGCCATTTTCCAAAAGAAAAATAATTAAAATATCAGAGAACAATTCACCCCTAGCCCTGAAGCTTCACTGGCTCAACCCTTGGGTGCAGGCCACTTAGTTGTCCTTTCACCCGCTCATGGCATGGGGTGGAAACAAAAGATAGGGAGCGATTGGAAAAAAAAGGTCTATGGTTAAAATTCTATGGTCCAAAATAGCTACAAGAAAATGCATCTCCATTATTTACATAGCAGTTTGCCTTGAGCTTAGACACATTTAAGATCAAACATCAAACTTTGAGAGATCATGTCTGAAACTACATTTAATTCGATTTTTGTGATGCAATTGAGGCATCAGATAAATATCCTCCTAAACCCGCAGATATTGATGAATGTTTTTGGTTTGCATTCGGAGGAAAGTTTCAAAATACCAGCGTATTCTGCAACACATTTTGTAACCCTACTATATGATGCAAATCATTATAATCTTTACAAACAATCTAGAGCCATGTTCAGCAGTGTAAAAAAAAAGTTATCAAAATGTTTAAAACATGCCTGGAATTTGCTTACCTCTCTATGTGTACACACAGAATGTGCACTACAAGAATGCAGTCATGGAGTAAAGATTCTAATGCTGAATTTGTAATAATGGCACCTGACATTATGCACAGAATTGATTACTAAAAGCCTTAGAATGTGGCAGAAGTAATTTATTTCAGCTTTTGAGAACATTATCTTAATACTCAACTGTGCTAAGGAATGCTCATCTGACACTGACTGATAAACATTACGGAGCAGATTGGCCAGATTAACATTGTAAGCAGTTGCATCAACAAAACCTGAACATTGTGACCGAAATACAACACTATGCACCAAGCAACTGTGGCAGCAATAGAACTAACCTAGGAATTTTACACACACTATCTATGTTCCCCAAAAAAGGATGATTGAACAAGAATAACAGATTTCTGTGTGTACCAGGGGGCTCATGGTACACAGATCAATTGAATGTTGAATGTTACACAGATTGATTGAATTCCCTTCCTATTCTCAATTCCCTGACAGTACAAGCGGACATCATTACTGTTTAATTAAAAACGTACCAAAGACCTCATCAGAATCAGGCCCCTGACATGAAGACTTAGGATATGTCATATATCTTAGGATATGGGACAAAGTTGCTATTATCTCTGTGCGCCAAATGTGAACACACAGTCCATTAGATATTATAAAAATATACCCTTGGATTTGATATAGCACCTTTGATATGGAAGAGCAGTATTTGGTAGACAATTGCAGCAACCAATTTGCGCACAGCAATGTCCTACAATCAGCCATCCGGTGAATGAACAACTGACATTTTTTATCTGGGGGATTGCTGGCCAGGGCACTGCCTTCTTTTCACGAATAATGGGATAACAACTTCATAATAAAATAACTACTAGATAAGCTTATTAGTGTTTCAAGGCAAATACGTTTCTTAACTATTGACATCAAAGGATTTAAGTTGGAGCTATTGCACTACCAATAGATAATAACATCTAGCAAGTACCGTTTACTTAAGAGTTATAACCACATTGGTTTGTACTACAACAAACACTGTACTTAAAATGTGGGATCTACTACATTTATTGTGGTTAATAAAATACTACAGTACTGCACTAAGAAATTAAACTGATTCTTCTGAAAGAAATTTCATTTGTGATACTGGAAAAAGTACACTGAGAAATATTACTTTAACCAAATGAAAAGGTAAATTTACAAATCCAGAACTTACCTCATAGCCTAGACGAGCTGCTCTTTGCAGTAAAGTTTCCCCAGCATTTTTATTGACAATAAGTCGCCGTGCTTCTGGTGGCATGGGGCGAGATGAGGAGAGTTCCTGTGGAGAGTTGTCTGCTTGGATGGGTAAGGGCCGAGGGCACTGCAATAAGAAAGGACTCTGCAGCAAACGGTCAGAGCACTTCTGCTCACATAATTTCTTTGGTGTCAAATCGAAGTCTATGGCTATTGCTGGTCGTTTTCTAGAACTTCTTATCACACAGGACTGCTGTAAACACACAATGTTACAAAAAAAACAATTAATAGTGTGTTTTTCCTACTGAGTTAGTTTGGCAAAATTACAGTCAAACTTATATAATAATAATAACAATAATAATCCTTGCATTTGATATAGCGCCATATCACATCTTTGGGACATCTCAAAGCGCTTCACGGAATATATTGTAAAGACGATTCACTGCATTTTGTGGGAAATTTATATTTGATCTAAATTATTTTTATGGTGGAAAACATAATGATGATTGATATTAGCTGATATTAGTTGATATTAGTTAATATGCAAATATGAGTGAGAGTCACATATTATTTTAGATATGCAAGACCAAAAGCGAATCACTAATTGCAATATTCATGAAAAGAAGTAGAACCAACTTGAGCATGGAAAATTTTGAGAGCTTGGGTAATCAATAATTCAACGTTTCTTTACACAATTCGGTATTGGTGCAGAAATTGTCCCTGCTCCCCTAGAGATTTGCTAACAAATGTAGATAGATATCATTCTAATCATGATATCACACTAAACCATGTTGTTGCTGCTTTAGTTTTGAAAATAGCTGTGTCTTGTAAGGAAATGCTATGAATTAGATTTACCTGAAAACTAACACTTGGTTGTTGATAAGTGATTGTCTCCTAATCATATAGTTGCAGGTTGGAGTCCAGAGACTGTGCCATAACATATTGCCTGCCCATGACTGAATAAATTTATTCAGTTCCCCGCTGGGCTTGTTGAGTGAAGGACCTTTGCAGAATTGGGGGTGCTGCACTCCTATGTAAGGAAGAACTGACCCGACTCATTTACCAACCAATACATTGTGCCTCAGGTTTATTGTCTTTTGAGTAGCAATGATGATTGACATGAAGAAATTTATAACCTGGACCACCTCTCCCTCCAGGCTTTAGGAGACCATGTGATTAAAGAATAAAAGGAGCGAAGCAATACAGATATATATATATATATTTTAAAATGTCCTACTGTCTTCTCAAATTGCAAAACAGGGCCTATTTGAACAGTACATTTGGAATAATTACTGGATATTTAATAAATATTGATCTGTGAAAGTGTAAAGTAAAAATTAAGGTTCATAATGTCATTGGGAAAATTTGAAAACTGTAACTTCCCGATGGATTATCAAGGTAACAGAGCTCAAAAAGCATGAGCTATCATGTGATGCGTTTCTCCCGCAAAATATACAGTCAATTCACTTTACAGTATATTTTGTGAAGTGCTTTGAGACATCTCGAAGACATGATAAGGTGCTATATCTGTATTATTATAATAACAAATGCAGATTAAAATATTTTATAACATATCAAGTTAAATATTAGGCTCTAAGATTTTTTTGGGAGCAAGCATATCACCCCGCATCCTCGCTCACTCAATGGCATTAAGTTAACCAATTAATACTGTCCAGCACTTTAACTGAATCTGAGCAACCATCAGTATAACTCCAAGAAGCTCACACTTAATTATGGTAGTCCTAATCTAATTTGAAGGGTATCTCCATAAATCTGAAGCAGAGGCACAATACAATACAATACAATTCATATAGTATTGTAGGCCAGCAAAAGCAATACTTGTTGCCCATTTTGTTGATTAGAAAGAAATCCTGTTTAAAATGTGAATTTTGTATTAGAAATGGACACAAACGCCATTGGGTTCTATGGTGCTCTGACTACTTTAATGTAACACCACCATGAAGTCGTGGAGAAAGAGGAGAGGGAACACTGCTCCTCTATTCTTAATCCAACACTTTAAAAATTATAAAATAACTTCACAGCTGCAGTTTAGTCCCTCTTGGGACAGGAACTCCAGACTGTAGTACATCTTGGAGAAAAAAAGAGGAGCAGAGTTGACTGTTGAGGTCTGTTAAGACTTGTTGTCTCCTCCTCAATAATATATTGTTTACTAAGCCAAATCGTAATGGTGCACTGTAATCACATCTTTAACAAGTTCTTATCCACATTCAAAAAAACAACTGCAGATATATGCACTGGATTTTGAATCAAGAAAACAAGGAACAGGAAATATTTGGTAAAGTATGCAATTAGCATCAATCATTTCAACATCCATTAGCTTTACCCAAGTTTTGAATTAAGTTATCAAAAAATTAACTCAAAAAATAGGTTTTAAAAAAATTGGTGACTGACAACAACAATTTACACACATGTAGTGCCTTCACAACAGAAGTTTTGAGCTGGGGAGGGGAGAGCGGGGAAGGGAAGCTGGCTGAAAGAGTAAAGAGATAATAACAACACCAAATTGCATTTACACAGCGCCTTTTATGTCGGGAGGAAGTCCTAATCTGCAGGAAAATCTCAATATGAAAAATGAAAAAAAATCTGAGCTTGCATCCCCTTCAGGCTTCTTGAATCCTCTTGGGATTCAAGATGATGACTGAAGGTGTGGTCAAAGAAGGTCTTGAGGTGGACCTCGAAGGAGGCAAGGGGGCGAGGCAAAGGGACTCTGGGATGGAGTTTGAGAGAGTGGGGACAGAAAGGCTAAAAACCCAACAACAGGGAGTGAGATTAAAGCAGACCAGTGCCTGTAGAGTGGATGGGAAAGAGTGGGTGATAAGGTTTTAGAAAGTCAAGGAGATAGGGTAGGGCAAGACCATGATGTGTTTAAAAGTGAGGACAAGGATCTTAAACTCGATCCTTTGGGGTTGGGGAGCTAGTGAAGTCAGGCAAGGATGGGGTGACAGGCTCATAGTTTGGTGTGGGAGAGGACACAAGCTACTGAGTTTCGAATAGTCTGCAGCTTGTGGAGGGAATAGTTGGGAACACCAGCAAGCAGAGTTGGCATCATCAAGCCTAGAGGTGATAAAAGCATTGATAAGGATCTGGGCAGCCGAGGAGAAAGGTAGTGGCGAATGCAGGGAATGCTGAACTGGTAATTGCATGGATGGGGGCGGTGGGGGGGGAATTTAAAGGACAGTTGAGTGTCAATCAAGACACCAAGGTTCCATATTGGCTTGGTGAGGTGGAGAGCGCAACCATGAACAGTGATGCTGTCAGTGCCTCAGGTGAGAAGGCGCCGACAGGAATCAAGCAGGAGAGCTTCAGTCTTTTCAACATTCTACTGGAGAAAGTTAGCTTTCATCCACAAATTGATATCCAAAAGGCAATCGGTCAGGACAGAGAGTGGAGAGATACAGTTACATATTACCTGCATACATGTGGAAGTTAACCCAATGCCTGGGGATAACATCACCAAGCGGGAGCATGTAACTGTTGAAGAAGAGAGGCCTAAGTATAGAGCCCCGAGGAACGCTGCAATTGGTAGTGTATAAGTTATCTAGGAGGAGTTTTGAATTGGAAAAAGGGGGGGGGGACTAGGTGGAGGGACATCAAAGGGTGGGTTCAAAGGAGCTGAAGGCTCACCCGCTGATGGTGAAGTAGTGCAAGCAGTAGGATGGGGTTAGCAGAGGAGAGACTCAAGTTGGGGATATGGTTCCATAGCTAACAGTAACTTTGCTACATGGCCATTCACCATGTAATACTCAGCAGTCCGTAGGAGCTAATATGTGGCAAAGTCTAGTGGGAATCTTCAATAAGGAAACAAGAAGTAAATCGTATTGACTAGCAGAAATATGCTTCAACTCAATCTATTTATAGAACAGAGCTCCCATGAGTTAGCTTGAAATATTTCCAGTTGCCAGAAGAGTCCCCACTCAGTTTCCTTATTAAAGAATCCTGATAGAAATCATTGTATACTAGAATCAAATGTAACCGAGGAAAACTGTCCAACATGGTCTCTCATCCAACATCTAAAGCAAACAGTAGTTTTTTTTCTAAAATGCGTTTGCATTTACATTCAAAAACAATGTTACTACAAATGTTGCAGTTCTAAGGACAGTTGAATGTCAAACAAGACACTAAGGGAAGAAGATTTTATCAGTCAAACATCTACTTCCCAAATGTTTACTTGACACTTTGCCCTATGAAAATACTTGATGGTGATGAAGAGCATGGTTTGTGAGAGATAACTTTGCTTGCTTTATGGACCTGACCATAAAGGAAAACCATTACTTAAGAGGTTCTGTTGTATCTGTTCTGCACAATTCTCGAACCTCTTCTGGCCTCTCCTAGGCTCGGTGTTGAACCCCACCACTGTACAGCATTCTGAGATGCTAAGCTGCATGAAGGGCACTATATAAACACAAGGTGTTGTTTTGGGAATTTTGGAACATGCACTAATTTACCTTGAATTGTAATTAAAGGATATTGGTGCCTTCATGAGTGTCATCTACACTACAGCTAAAGGAGACTGTGATTAAACCTATTTCAATAAACTTGGCAGTCAGAGGCTAAAAGATTGCAGCCATTCTAATCCTAAAGTAATGTAATGAAATTCCACATTTCTGGAATGTCAGTAAATGGTTTCAGTTATAGACACCCAATATTAAATGGATTTGTAACTCTGCCAACAAGCTACTACTGAAAAATGTAGTAAGAGTTGGAACTTGATATGAACTTAAGTCCAGGATCTTATTTGTGTAAAAGTTAAATATGCATCAAAAATTATTGGTTGGCATCAAGAAAAAACATGAAATAGGCCGCAACCTTTGCCTTTAAAAAACTTTACAAAACACTCAATTACAACGGTTTAGCATCTGACTGCTTCTTGGATTGACAATCCCACAGTTTCAAAATAGATAATAATTATATGTATATAGATTTATAAAATGATTTATAGATGTATTTCAAAACAAACTAATGAGTGTCATACATCTTTAGATTGCTTAGAAATGTAACCACTGAACTCAGTTATCAAAGCAATAGATTAATGAGATGCCAAAGAAAACATAAAGCTAGTTGGCTGTTGAAAAACAGTATATTTCAAAGTGCAGTGCAAGCCCATTACAGTTTAAAGAACAATGTATGTGGTGAAGAGTGGAAAGAGTGGAGATTTGGATAGGTAGTTCCATGGGAGGAGCAAACAGTGGTACGTATAATGGATTGAATGTCTTCCTACTATGTCAGATTGCCATAATTCTAAATATTTTATAGAATCTGGAGTCCTGGACTATTTTTTGGTAGTTGAATCAATTCTGTTAAACCAAATGGAAATTCAACATAAACTTCTTGCTTTCTATCTCGAAGATGTAGCTGTGGTAAACTCAAACTGAGCTAAAAGGAATCAACATTTTTTATGCACATATTTAATTTAAATTATCTTGTAAAGTGGATTTGATCCATACTTAACACCCTTTGCTTCAACGGATCTATTGATGTCTGAGGCTGGCCTGTATTAGTTTAGGTTAGATTTTCTTCTATTTAACAGCTTGAGCCGAAATGTATTGAATTCTACTTTTATGTTTCAATACTGCTAATTTCATAAATATAAGGGGTCTTAAAGTCAGGATAAACTTGAATCTGATCTGTACAGTCTCAAACTACTTTCAGCTGTTCATTGAAATTCCCCACTGACTGCAAATTGGTAAAATCAGTAGCGGCTATAGGTGAGATTAAGCACATTAGTGGCTTTGTGATATTTTCCGTCAACCAGTTTGCAGTGAATTCTTTTAACAGTTAACCCTAGATGCCATCTGCACAGCAAAACAACGTTTGAATTAAGGAAGGGTTTTTTTGTTGCAGAAAATGTGAAAAAGAAGTTAATGCATCAAATAATGCAGTCTTTGTATCACCCTCCTCTAAAAAAGAGACTAAAAGATGATTTTGAAAATCATTCAAAGAAAACATTCATATGTGATGTGAATCAACAGACATGCACAATGCAAATTTTCAATGCGTGTAGTTGAGGACTAGATCCACATTCTTCTGATAGTTTAAGATCGATTTCCTTCAGATGAAAATAATAGTGATTTTAATTCGACAAAAAGGCACAACTATTTACTTTTGGAAGTAACAATCGTGGCAGTGGTGCTGTTGCTGTTATGCTACCATGGTAGTGCCGTGGTGAGGTTAAAACAACACCGACATTTAAATTCATTGCCACTTATGGCATGGAACTTTTGACAATGTTTTTTATTCCTCCTCCAGCCACTAACTAAAAAACAGCAGTGGAAAGGGTTAAAAAAGGTAGGAAGTAGTCACCAGACATTCAGATATTAATGTATAATAATAATTTGGTCACTCAATCTATGACTGTTTGTGGAACATGGCTGTGCGCAATTGGCTGCCGTATTTCACCCACAAAATATACAGTCAATTTACTATACAGTATATTCTGTGAAGCGCTTTGAGATGTCTAGAGACGTGATAAGGCACTATATCAAATGCAAGGATTATTATATATTATAAACAAATGTAGCAGAAATTTTGCTCATAGCACAATCCCACAAATAGCCATGAACATCTAATTGATATTAACTAGGACACCAAGATAAACTTTTTTTTTGCAAATAGTGTCATGGAATTTATAATGCCTACCTGAGTACAGGCAGACAGAACCTCAGTTTAGGTCTGATCCAAAGGTCAGAAACTCCCAACAATGCAGCACTTCCCCAGCACTGTACTGGCATCATCCCAGAGTATGAGCGTAAGTCCCTATAGCTTCAGTTTACAACTTTTCCCAGAGGTGAGAACATTACCAGCTGAGTCAAGCTGACACCAACATCAGATTACCATTTTGTTTCAAGGTTTTCATCCCTCACTGAAAGGAACAACTCTCCAGACACCAGGATGAATTATTCCTCCCCAACTACCTCCAGGTAAATTGTTCACCAGGATCTTGTAGCATGTAGCCTTGGGTGGGCTAGGATGTCAGCTCGCCCCTACAGACTGCTAATGCTTCGTACGGCTAGTATCAGACCTTCCCCGAAGATTAAATAAAAGGCTGCTGTCATTAAATTAAAGGCAGCACTCATGACTGAACACACACACACATCTGCACAAACATAAAGATTTTGGCGTGTCTGTCAGTGCTTCAGATTTCTGTCAGTGCAGTGTACAGGGGAAGGGGAAGGATTGTAGTTCCAGCAGCTTGGGGTATTTCCAGAGCCAGTACTGTCTGAATTAGTATCCTGTAACATAAACACACCAAAATATGGTGTTCCAATGTCAGTAACAGCCTTTTGGCAGCCCAAGCTGCCATTCATCATGTTCAACCTGTACACTGAGTGTTTCTTTGTAACCTTCCTGGTACATGAAATTGATTCAAATTTGTGCCCATTGATGTCTGCGTACAGCAGATCCTACGTGCAACTACAAACAACCAACTGAAGTTCATACCTTATCCTCTGAGCTCTCAACGTCAGTCGTATCATCTCCTGTCAGTGAAGATCTTCTTTTATCCTGACGGGTTAAGTGTTTGGTTTTACACTGTCGTTTTCCTGAAGGTTTCTCTCGTTCGGCATTCGGGTACTTTGGTGAAATTGGTGAGCCTAGAAAATCCTCTTCTTCTGCGGAAAACAGAATACCCAACTTGCGTCTTTCCTTGATCTTTTGTCGTTTGGCTGATAGTCGCGACACAGGTGTGCTGGTTGAATTTGAATGGACTTGCCAGTTACTGCCCGGTGTGCCAGATGAAACTATCCGTTTCTGTGGTGATACTGGAGGTGTAGCAAAACCTATAAAAAATGGTTTACATCCTTTTAGTCCCTTCAGATTTTAGGCAGGATTTGTGGTCTTCCACCAAGTTAACTAATTGGGCAGCTACGGTTAACAATAATTACTAATTACGTTTTTTTTTAAATAGTCAGTTCAATGACCATAGGATCAATGTTTTATGCCTGCAGGAAAATGCGCACTTAAGAGTTATTTTCCCTCTCCATTACTGGAGGGTTTTCCTTCGAGTTTTTTTTGTTCTCTGCACAACTCGCTCCAGGCAGACTGCACATGGGCCAGGCTGCACGTTTCTCCCTGACTGTTGCCTTGGCCATTCAATAATAAGCCATTAGGAGAAATGCATTTGTAGCTAAATGAAAGAAAGTCAACTATCCGGCAAACATGCTCCACCTGCCAGTACTAATGTAAATCATCACAACTGTGGTTGGTTTGTGCTGATGGACATTCAGCTGTGGTTAAATGAAAGATTTCCGTTGGACACAACCTCAGGAGAGCCGTACATAATCTGTGGAAAATAAAATATTCCTTTGAACTTTGCCATCCAGATTGAGTTAAAAAAATGGATTTGCTCACTTTTGAGCTGAAAAAGATGGTCATTAATGACACAGTATTCTACATAGTCTTCTTGGGCCATTGAAAGGAGAGTCTCAATTATACAAAAAAAATTTAATTGGAAGAAGCAGCCAACAATTTCACAACTTAAAAATTCCTGGGGAAGCAAGCCATGAAAAAAACAGTATAAAACACTTTTTAAGACTTAAAGTATAAAACAATTGAAAAAATATTGTGCCCTTTCTCATATCAGGTTGGTATTTTCAATTTGGTCTAGACAAGTCATGGTGGTTTCTCTCTGTCTCTCTCTTCGCTATCTCTCTCAGAAGGATTGCAAGGAAAACGTGCACTCTTGGCCTTTGAGTATGTGTAGGAGGAGGGGGGAAACTGAATAAACAATTATTTTAATTTATGTAAACAGGTCTTTTTTATTAAGGTACAAATCATGATGATATCAATTTTAAGGTGTCCTCAACAATAATCAGCTTGCATGTTCAGGAACATTAGAATATACAGAACTGGGAAACACCATTCAGGTGCATCTGTCTGGTCCCAAAGTAAAAATAAATGCGTCTTTATCTTTCATATCCTTCAATCGATTTCTTCGTCAAATTGCTATCTAATTCCCTCTTGAATTATCTGACACAATCTGTCTCATCACGTTCCTTGGAAGTCTATTCCACATATCCCCCACTCTCTATGTAAAGCAATTAAATCTAAACTGTTGTTTAATCTTCCATCTTCCAAGCATAGTCTGTGCCTCTTGTTTTAAAATACAATCTAATACTTCCAAGCCAAACACCATAAATAATAAAAAATAACACTTGCATTTGATATAGCTTCTTATCACGTCCAAACAGCACTTAATACTTTTGAAATATACTGTGTACTGGCTGCTGTTATGTACTTAATACAGCAACTAAGCAATAGCAATCCTGCCAACAGCAGTGAATGACTAATTAATCTGATTTTGAGTGAATCTGAGTGGGCAAGAAATATTAGCCAGGACACCAGAGTAACTCCCTGCTCTTCTTCAAATGAATATTTACCTGAATCAGCAGTACAGCATTCCTTCAGAATTGCACTGGAGCACCAACTTAGATTGTGAGCTCAAACCCACACTTCTGACCCAAAGATGAGAATGTGGCCAAGTTAGTCAAACTGTTGCATGCCTTTTAATCCACAATGTGCCCATTTATTACATTTTATAATCCAGCCAAATTAAAGTTTGGTTTTATAGGTTTCCTAATTAACTACCCTGCTTTCTGCAGTTTTTTTTTTGTCAATTTAAGGTATAATTTTCAGAGTTTTATAAGCAATTAATCACTGATTTTGGAATATTCAGGCAACAAGCAGACATTCCATAGAGATCACAGGTCTGCAATGTCAACGCTGCCTGTTATATTCACTCGCCTTGTTAGCTAACCTCATTTTTGTGTGCCTTGTGCTAATTGGAGTTCCAGACCAAAACATTTTCTTCCATCTCACAGAAAGAAAAACTGTCATCTTCTAATCTCCCCCATTTGAAGAGCACCTCCTTGTCAGTTCACCCCCGGGAAGTTACCTAAGGGATAAACAATCTCACCCTCTAAACTGTAGCAGGGTATATGGCAGGGAAGGACCTATTAGAAGAAATAAAACAATTCCTGCTTCTGGATTACTTTGTACTTCGTGATACCCTGAAAGCAAACAATGGATGCTGCTAAATTCTGCATTTTGTCCAGGAATTTATGTGAACTGTTTAGTTGAATGAACAAAAAGAGAGGTAACTCCCATCTCAAATTTACCTTTTTCAATGTCACTTCCATTAAAGGAGTCATCGGACCCACTTCTGCTGGCTTTGACCTCTGTTCCTTTCCTGCCTTTGCCCTCGGTTTCCTTTGCATTGAGCTCAGACTCCTTAAGTCCAGCTACCTCCTTCCTACTGTGACGAGCTGGCTTGGAAGAGGCTGATCGGTCAGGGGATACCTGCTGCTCCCAGAGTTCCCTAAGGTGGTGCAGGTGCCTCTGTTTGCGTGGGTGCAGCCCTGTCAGCTCAATGCACACCTTTAGGTTTGTTACTTCACTCGAATGTGAATCTTCTGAATTGTCTGTGGATTCATCGTTCATCTCCTTTTCAGTCCATTCATCTAATGTGAAAATAGTTCAGATCAATAAACTATACCCTTAAGCAAGCAAAACTATAAATAACAATAGGTAGCACTAATATTATGACCAACAGAAGACCATTACAGCTTCAAAACCAATGTTATGTCAATGGTACAAATTGTTGTTATTTTCTGTACAATCCAAGATAATAACAATGGGGGAATGGGAACCTCCGGTGACAAACTGGAATGGTTCATTTATGTCAATGAAAGATAGTGCGTTAACCATTTCTTTGCTGCAATATTACTTTTCTACCATGAGAAGTCTGTATGGTATCCAAATCTGAAAACATATGTAATCCATTATTTTGACTTTAGGGTAAGGTACTTATTATTTATGCTCATAAAAGGTAAATACTTAATAGATTAAATACAGCTAAATGAAGATTTATATTCAGAATGTCCCTCGCACTTGTGTTGAGATGAATGTTTTTATTTTAACTTTTAGCATTTTGTTTCTTGTACATTACAGATTCAGAATTTAAACAATGAATCATAGATTTGGGTATAAAAAGCTGGTTAGTTCCTGTGATGATGAAATACACTGATGAACACTTATGTGAAGTTATCTGTATTCAGGTCTTTAAAATGTTTACAAGTGTGAAATCTTTGTTGTATCTTTACACGCTTAGTGGTTTGAAACTTAAAATATTATGGTAAATTACAGTATTAGCCTTATTTTTTATGAAGATTATTGAAAGAGCTCCCCATGATGACTCAGTTAATAAATCCATTGTTTAATATGGTAACAATCAGGGATCACCTACTTTCTAGGTTCACACCCAAAAAATTGGAAGGCAGTGGTGGTGGGATGGGGAAGGGAGTCAGTGCCAATGAACAGTAAAACAGGAGTCAGCACATTAAGGAAATGGGGGGAGGGGCAATAATAACAGGAAGTCTATGTATCAAATAGATGGGGTTCAAAAAAAGTTGTGAATTGCCTAGAGTACTTTGATATATTTTCAAGCTCTATACTGTTGGATTGGGGACGACCAGAAAATGAGATTCTCTCTATAATCAATTCTACTATGTATGTCGTGGATAAGTGCAAACTTTGCCTTTGTTGCAATTCCTTCCCAGAGGTGGTTTGTTCTGCTAAAGCAAGGTATTCAACCCAAAAGCTAATATGGCTGAATTTGAATGTTGGTTGAGGCAATTGGCTGCCACTTTTCGCCCACAAAATATACAGTCAATTCACTTTACAGTGTATTCCCTGAAGCGCGTTGAGGTGTCTTGAAGACATGATAAGATGCTATATCAAGTGCAAGAATTAGTATTATTATTAACACCCACCAACAGATTTGTAAATGTTTATACATGTCAATAAAATGAAAAATAATGGTCGTGTTATTGTTCTCACCTGGGAGAGAATGTTGTCTTTTTCTTTTCATCTTGAAAATTTCTGTTTCCTTAGGACGATTAATGCATGTCTCATTGTTTTCCTTCATCTCTGATTGTACTTCAGGAATGTTTATTTTCTCCTGGTCATCCTCAAACTTCTCCTTGCAGTGCTGGTTATGGTTGTCAAAACAAAACTCAGGACTGTAGCTAACATCCTCTTGGTGATGAGTTTCTGGAGCCACTTCTAAGTCCTCATTAGATACCGATTCTTTCTGGGACGTAGAGCTCTCAATACGAACGTCATCGGTCCAACATTCTCCGTTTTCATACTTTTCTATCAGATCTTGTGTACTGAATTCCAAGTCACCTGGAGAGAGTTCACAAAATGTTCTTCTATATTCTAATGTTCAGTGACAATTCTATCATAGAAAATTTAAACTTTAAACATCCCAGAAGCAAAGTAATCTGATTTGCTATTGGCATGTCACAGATTTTTTTCTTTTTACACACTGTACAAAGGGTCATTATTCTTTCATTCTCGTTTACAGAATGAAAATTAGTTATTCGACCCACCTGATGCAGATCAATGCATCCATGTTACTACTTTGAACTTGAATAAAAATGGGAAATGTATCTTAAATCAACAGCAATAAAGATTCAGTAAAAGAAATTTTGAAACTAATTTCTACCCAACTCCAGAAAACGTCTACTTTCTCAGATTAATCATCTCAATCTATTTTAACCAATGACTAAATCTTTTAAAAACATACAAGTAAATAAAACTTAAGCCATCAATCTGCATGTATCCTCTGTTGTTGCCACATTTTTTCTACTCCTCATGAAAGTATTTTCAACTCCCTGGGTATGGTTTCACGGGCACCAATTATCCTCCTACACCTCACCCATTATTTATGTGTGAACTTTCACAGTAAGAAGTGGCAAGCTATTGGACTACTGGGAGCATCACAGCTCAGTCAGATTCTGCCTTCGCCCAAAGTCCATACATACTTCCAGGAAGGTGTCTCTGTATAGCAATCAAGAGCAGGAATCCTGGTCGATATTTCTTGTTGCTAACTCCAAGGCTGGTAAATAACACCAATGAGGAGGTTTTACAATAATAAACCTGGCATTTGATATATTTTGTGGGCGAAACGCAGCAGGCAATTGCACACAGCAGTCATGGATTGAGTGACCAGAATGATTATTATTTTTTTGGAGGGATTATTACCGCTTGGAAAAATGATCTACTAATCAACTAACAAACGAGTTCCTACTTACTGCTAGTTAAACAGAAGTGTGTGGGGTGTAAGGAAACTTGCGGTTTTATTTCCCCACCTGAAAATCCACACTAACTCCTCCAAACGAATTCTACAAAATAACATTATCATACTTCAGAAATGGTTACATAACTGCACCATTACATAACTGCACCAATTTTCCATCTTTATACTCCATGAAGTTGTACATCATAGAAACAGAAAACATAATAGAGCACACTTGATTTAAAGCATAATAGTACATTCATATTCAATTCATAATTGAAAAGAATTTCTGATCAAAGCAGATTTTTTGTGCAAATTATTAGTGTTTTTATAAGGATTCAAGTGTATAAAAGTTCATTCAGTATAGTTTAAACCTTCCTCTGAAAGTCCAAGAAAAATCAAGGAATCTATGGTCATATTAAACCAAGAATATATGTACACACCAGACTGATTCCGTGTTCGCACTTTCAGCAAAAATGGGATAAAATCTTGGAATCCGTTTTTATGCGTCTTGTTAAGGGCTAGTTTAAAAGAAAAATAATGCATTAAACAAAACATCTTTCTGATTAAACAAATAACTGGTTATTCAGTCTTAATTCAGCACTCTAATTACCTTCAGTAAAACTACAAAGAAATGGAACATTATAGTCATAATATCTCCATTACAAAACAGTACATTGTTCAACTTGCATTTCAGTCACCAATGTAGTTAATTCTGCTAGCATTATACATCAAACTATATTGAACACTAACATTTTAGATATTGGAGTAAAAAATTAAATGTTTTTTCAACAGATTCCATGTGATATTCGTTAAGAAACAACACAATTTTCAACCTAATATAGCTGTCAATGATGTGCTAAGTTTCAAGTTCTCATTGTATTCAAAGAGGTCAACAAAACAATAACGTAAAACCATTACGTCTGACTCTGGATTCACACATCATTACATTTTGTTTAGACCAATCTGCTTCGACCAGGTGAGAACAATAACAGCAGCCAGTGATCACGAAAAAAAAGCTTTTCAACATCTGAGGAGCTACAATTATGTGACTATGCCATTTGTGTAGTTGTCACAAATACATTTTAAATTGCTTTAACAAGAAATTTGCATAGATCAGTGGATAACAACGTCCCAGATTCAATCCCCAGCCTGAGCTGTTTGTTCATACTACCAAATGTGGCTGTTGGAGGAGCTAAAATTGACCTTAATGTCCTCAGGGTAATGGGGGAAGGGGGAAGAAATTGCCAGGAATCCAAGTTCCAGATTGATTCCTGGTGACCCCTGCTGGACACGAGTGTGTATAGATGTTGGCTCAGAATACAATTGGGCTTCACTGTGATTCATTCCCACTCTCACTCACCCACCAATGATTGAATAGCCTCCTGGCACTAATTGTCACCCACCCCATGATTGAATAGGCTGTTGGCACTGGCTGCATAAGATCACATTTGAAGAACAGGCATTTATGTGTGTTACTTGTAGGTATGCTTGCCATTCACAGAAAACAGTAGATAAGGATAAAATCGAAGGGAAAAAGCTATAAAAGCACTAACATTCATTAATTTATTGTCTTAGAAGTAACTCATCAATATACAAAATGATTAGTAATTAGATTGCTGACCCAACACATGACACAACTGGTACAACAGTGTTTTTTTTGTGGTTTGTAAAATCACTTGATCTCATCTAATGAGAATCATATGACCTGTGGCACATCCCATAATTTATTGTCATGTTCGCACCATGGAAACACTCCAAAGCACTGTTGTCATGGTAATAATTTCAATTCACCACAGCAACCAAGCAGCTTCATTACTGTTTTTCACTGTCAGACAACTAAAGAGACTAAAAGAGCATTGGAGTGTCAACTAATACTTCCGGAGCAACAGTGACCTTGTGGAGAGGAAACCTGCTGACTAAATTGCTCACGGAAATTGGATTTCCCTTTCATCTCAGAAACGCTTTCTCACTACGGCATTAAAATGCTACAATATTATGATGGCCTGGAATATGTGCTGGGCTGAGCATGGCAGGCATAGGAACAAAATATAAGATGTGATGCTCTTGGCAAACAGCAGTCAAAATGCCAGGAAAATAGGGCTACAAAAAGGTGACAATTAACTTTGCAGATTCAGCAATCATATATACTTAACATATGGGGGTGAAATTTCAGGTAAGTGCAGTGACCAACAATGTGGGGTTCACAATAGAAACCCTACCTAAGGCCCACATCCTTCCTGACCACATATTGTCAAAGCCGCTACACTTTGCAGCAAGAGAAATGTCTCGCCGATTGTCTTTTCACAAAAGAGACAAAGTCTTCATAGGAAAGCATTGGGCTAATTTGTTTTGAGGTGGAAGAACCATGTATCATTTGTTTCACAATGTAAGTGAAAGGGCACTGTATTAAGGTGCAATTTATGTCACCGCCATCAATATCAGAAAACCAATGGAAAAGTTTCCCAAACCCTTCAAGTGAAGAATGATGACTCTTTAAGTCCAGAACTGAATGGTTTCCTACTGAAAACCTCTAACCAGCTTAATGTACAGAGACTGTCATTTTAAGAGGCAAGGTGTAGAGGGAGAATCCAGATTGGCAAATTATATTTTAACAAATTTGCCAACTTTTATATCAATTATTATTAGCAAAAGAGTATAATTAAGCGCAATTTTAATACCAGTGTTCAATAAGTCAAAGTAAATATTCACACTTTATTAAAAATCGTTCTTGATTTTAAACTACTTTTTCATAGGGCAACGTTGATTCACACTCTCAGTTTTTGCCAAATGTGTGGCAATTTTACTGCCAAAGAAATGGTAGCAAAAAAACCATGATTGTTAAGAGGCCCAACTGCTCCTTGTCCATCCTTTCAGCTTGTAGTCTTTCCATTAATTTCCTGCTTACATTTATGGTAACAAATTTTTTTTTTTAAATGTGCCTAACATTTTAGTACCACACCTACAGTTCTTCTTTACTAATTTGTTTCTTGAGATTTAAATAGTAAAGAAAGTGGAGTTTTAATAAGAATAATAATCCTTGCATTTGATATAGTGCTTTTCATATTGGCAGGACATCCCAAACAGCTTCACAGGATTTACTGTGAAGTGGAGTGACTGTGTATTTGTGGGTGAATGTAAGTGGTAAAGATAAGTTCAACTAAGACTGTTTGAAATGTTGAATGGTCACAGATGTCGGGTGCCTGGTGTCTAAAATTGTGGGTGATTTCCTATCTGTGCCAAAACTGGTTAATTTGTCAAATACATAATTTCTAATAATAATGTATGCAATAAAAAGGAACATTAAAAAGATTGTGATTCAAGATATAACTATTATTTTTGTCTCCGTGTCTCTCCAATTGTTCCCACATAGACATATAACATAAAGCATTGTTTAAAAAGACAAAGGGTATCAAAGCGTGGGTGTGAGCAGCTGAAGATCCTAGGTTCAATCCTCTGTCTGTGTCACTAAGGGCACCAAGTTTGGCTTTAGTGCCCCTCAGTTACAGAAAAGAAAATCCTGGTCCTGATCTGTAATAAGTGCTTCCTACTCGAGGTAAGGGTCTCTGAATGGCAGTCGAAGATAGGACTGGGCACAGCTGCCTTGTCCCCTACAGCTGAATTGCCTGCCTACAGTCACTGTCAATTCTCATTACAAAAATGTAGTGAAAAGATCACTATTTTTAGTGGCCAGTGTAAAATAGACACCACAATATTCTTCTGGCTGTTATCAGTCTGAATAACAGTTGTACAGATAAGACGGACTGAGACAGTATAGAGCTCAGATATTTAACCAATGGCTACTTCATTGTTATTCCCACAAAATAATACTTGTAGCAAATACCATTTGCAGTAAACCAATATGAGAGGAAGTCCAAAGAACTACAACATTGAGCTTTCTCTTCTCTTCAACCGTGCCTTTGGTCTCCCTCACCCATACACCATCCCTCCCCCATGCTCGGGCCTCGACATCTGACTGTTCAGCGCTTTGGGACGTCCTCCCGACGTGAAAGGCTATTTATAAATGTAATTTTGTTGTTGTTCATGAAGCTTTTTCCATTTAAGCACATGCATTTAAATCGGAATTATTTTGCAGTTTAGACACACAAATTAGGCAACAGTAATGATTTTCTTAGTATTTGTTTGTGGATAAGAATATAACCTGGTCTTTCAGTTTCTGGTGATTATCAAAATAAACTGCTTTCCCAAACTGCTTTCTTCCCTACAGCCCAGCTACTGAGTTTTGCTGTATTGTCTTAATATCACAATTTAGGAAGTGTTTTTATTGTTAAAGGAAACATAAATAAGGAATAAGACAGTAGTTTTAATAATGTCGTCTGGACCTTTTTCCTGAAAAAACAGTATGTTCTCTTTTACAAGGTTACAATACTCCTGCATATAGTAAAATGACATTAAAAAATAAATTGCATTAGTCATGTTGTAGTTGGAGCAAGTGTCAGGGATTGTGAGCACAGCTAACCTCACATGCATGTAGTTAGTATAGATTATTAAGTTATTAAGGTTTCACATGAAGATACAATACAATACAAATTACATTTGTATAGCGCCTTGCACGTCGGGAGGATGTCCCAAGGCACTGGACAGCCAGGGATTTTGTTAAACAGTGGTGATTTGGGATAGAAATTTTTGAATTTCGAAAAAAAATTGTTCAGTCTATCAAAGAATACAAATTGCAAATAAATAAATTATGCAAATAAAAAACACACCATTAAATGCATCCATTTCACTGGCAGTTTAGAAATTTTCCATGCTATCGGTACTCAGTTTATTGAGATGGTGAATGACCATGTTGATCAATTGGCATTTAATTCCATCAATCATTATAAAAGACAAAATTGCCTCCCCTTTCAAGTGCATAAAAAATCTCCCAACAATACTACTGCTAATGCTACTCACTGTCGTCATAATGTTCTCCAGGAACAAAATCATCTTCTGAATTCTCCACTGAATTCCTTTCCTTCTTCCCATTGATGTTTTTCCATTCAGCATCATTTAGTTTGCTGTCTTCAAATGAGTCTTCGGATAGCGTAATATCATCCCGCTGCTTCATCTCAATCTCAGAGAAACGCATCATAGCACGCTAGAACATAAATGAAAAGATTAACAAGATAATGACAGTCTGTTTCTAACAATTTACCAGCTGTATCAAACCTAACTTATTTTTCACACCTACACTGAATCCTCATTGAAAGAAAACTTCTAAAAACAACAAAAGATAACAGTCTTGGACAGTGTTTTTCTTAAGTTGTACTGATGCACTATTTAATAAAATGTACAGGTATAATGTCCCCCATGAAAAAGGAAGATTGTTGCATGTAAAAAAAATGCAATATATTTCTGTTGTATAGAATACTGAAACATGCTTGAGAGTTTCAACACAACACAAGGAAGGTAGTTTGCATACTAGTCCTGGGGTCCACAACCAATGTCCTATAGTCAAAACTTTAACTACAAGTCATTTAACAGTTCTTTTAAGTTAAAACAATCTGAGAAAAAATTTTAAGAACTGACCTCACAGTAAGCAGCAGGCTGATATAAAATACTGTCCTCTTGTGATAATCCTTCCATCTATTCAATTAAAATGGGCACTCAGTGGGCAACTTTTTCATTCATTTTTTACAGACACAAACCAATATTTCACAACAAGAATGAATTCATCAAAAGGCTATTCACCTATCAAAAATATGTGTAAAGGTGCAATGTTTACAGTAGACCTTACAAACAATAAATATGTATAGATAGCTAAGTACAACTGTGTGAAAAAAACACAAATACGTACGGGGTGGGGGAAATCATCTTGTTCATATCCACAGATAGTGAACTCAGACATAATGAAACTACTGTGGGGGAAACTTATCTTTCGGCACCTATTGACCATGACAAGACAACTTGTTTGATCTTTGCAAACTTCCTATCTTAAAGCTACAGTGCAAGAAAAAACAACAGCAGACAATGCCTACGATACTGTACTTAAACATGCTAGAGTTACATATAAATAAGAATAGACATGAATGAATTACACTCAGGTATGCAAAAGCCCCAAATTCATTAGAGGCCAGTAGGGTCTATTTTATATTGAAAGCTAAATATAGCAATCTTTTCTCCATGGCTTTTTAATAGAATTTCTGACTATAAAGATGTAGCAAAAAGATTGCTATTTCTAGCAGTCAGTGTAAGATAGATCCCAATAAGTGTGTAAGGAGCATAACTATAAATGAAGTCCTGTACAAATCAAATTCATTCTTTAACCATCTATTATATGGCGTATGTATATATTATGTATTGTATATCATACATATTATATATGTATATAATATATATATACACATAACTTATTCTCCCTCATTTTCTATCCTGAAATATATGCTGTTGCATCAGGATAATTTGACTAGATAGGTGAAGAGGTAATAAGTTATGAAAAACAAAAGGTATGTATTGATCTCAAAGGTGCAGCAGCAAAACAGACAGCAGGCAAAGGTGCTGTCTGCATATTTAGATACTTGGACATGCAAATTAAAGGAATAGAATTTTCAGGTACTGCGGCGTATTACAACTACTGATTGTACACTGTAAAATTATCAAGTAACCCTTTTTGATACAAGTCTAAATTGTGATAGCTTGTTTACGCGTGTTGTAATTTATGCTACCAATCCTCACAAGAAACGGTTGGATTTTCATAATGATCATCAAGTCAATTCTTAGATTGTGATGTGATGCATCAAAAAAATCTAATATGATTTATGGGATGTAGCTCAAACCTTGTTAAAACATCCTTAATTTATATAGTATCTCTTCTTTTACTTTTAACTTTTTTCAAAGTTTTTAAACTGATATCAGGTCTTATTACAAATTAAAGAAGATCTTACCAGTTCCTTTTGTAGATTTACATTGTTACATCTCATAAGTTACTGACAAACAAGTCAACCACTCACCTGTAGTGCTCGTTGTTCTCGACTAAGCTGGCTAGAGTCAGCATACAGTTCTGTTGTGACACACTTAAATCTATCTCCCACATACCCAGCTGAATTTGCAATACGCTTTGTGAGGTTAGATTTCTTCGGCTTCATATATTTAGCACTCGCCGAATCATCAGTTCTGTCTTTGGTATCACAGTAGTTCAATCGAGCCAAAAACTGCTGGGTTTCAGCACCAAACTCCATATCAGTATCTGCTTTGCCAAAAGATGTGGCAGCACCGTCAGCCATATGACTGTCCTCTGATGCATCAGCAATTGAATGAACTGTTGATCCAACTTTACTTTGGCAGTCTGAAATATTCTCTTTGTTTAATTTCTGGTTTGGTAAACACTGACCCTGTGATGAACTACAGACCTCTGCCGGTTTGTAGAGATCTTTTTTAACACCATCTACTTCAGCAGCGGCTTCCATAGACTCTGCTGTTTTCTCACCATTTTCTTTTGAGAAATAGGTTTTGTTGTGGCTTACCGGGATGATGCACTTTCTAAGTGTTTTTGCTTCAGTTTTTCCCCAATGTTCATTGTGTTCAAAGATTAAGTGTTTATCTTTGTTTTCTTTGGCAAATGCTTTGCCTTGATTTTTTGGACTGTGGCATGGTAGTTCGACCCTGGGTGAAACGGACAACTGATCTACATTTGATTTTGGAGATGTTTCTGGTGGCCTGTGTCTGGCAAGTGGCTCGTCACTGATTCTAAGCCTATCATGTGATCTGGACCGTCTCTGTGTTGTTTCACCCTTTTTCTCTTCTTGAATGGTAGTAGGTGGTGAGATGATAGGATTCATCAGATTTGGGGCATTATGAAACAGTGGATATTCATTTCTGCATGTTGATAAGCTGCTGTAAGAAAGTCCATGCTTGGGTGCCAAGTTTCCTGTGTACAAACTGCCATTAGGCAATAAAGCAGGTAATGGAAGGGTGCCAATTGGCAGTCCTTCAGGTGTAGAAAAGGTGAAATATCTGTTTGGATATGGTAAAGGTGGTGATAGAAAGGCATCATTTGGAGATAAAAATATTGAACCCGATGAAGGAGCACTTTCAGTTGCGTGAGACACAAAATCTGGGCCAGCTCCTTTGGTCCCTTTGCTGGCTTGCTTATTGGGTGCTGGAGAAGACCGTCCGGTCTGGTGGATGACAGATGTTTTATTTGTGGAGTTACTCTTAGGTGTCTTTTCCGAGGGTGCCCACTCAGGTGAAGGTGAAGCAGAGGCGGGTCGACCCAATCCAGAAACAGAACCAGGAATGTGATTCACAGCGCCATTGGAACTCCCAATCCTGGGGCACGATGAGCTTCTCTGATGAGGAATTATGCGTTCTAGTGTTTTGTTACTCACCAATACACTACTGGTTTGATGGTCTCCAGGTGAATTGGTACTAGGAATGGCCCAAGTTGGGTGCAATTTGTTGATAATGGCAGGTCTTTCAATGGGGAGATCATTATGCGATGAAGCTAAATAACCATCAGAATGTGTTTCCCTGCCAGGCAATAAAGTGCTATTTCGCCATTTGGCAGGTGCCATAACTGTTGCCATCTTTTCAGTACTCTCAGTCTTTGGTACTTGATCATTTGATGCCTCCCCATAACCTACTTTAGAGGATAGATCTAGTGGCTTCTCACTACAGTCTTTGGTAGATGTCTGTTTTTCTAGTTGTGGTGAAGACTTAGTAGCCTTTTGTTCATTTTGGGAGTTTCGTGACTGTGTTGCTGCTTGTTGGAAGGTTTCAACAGATTCTGGTGGTTTTGAAAGTTTGCTGTTTGTTGATCGTGTTGGTGGGGTGAATTCATTATTTAGACTTAAGTAACCATGAGGAAGTGCCATCGAGGGAGAAGGAGCAGATATTCTTGCTAGGTGTTTCTGAAATTCTGAGTTCTCTCCAATCTGTGGTGAAGGCAGGTGAAGCCGGGAAGTTGGCCTTGGTGATTGCAACAATGTAGTAGGATCCGCAGGAATACTAACACTTGACTTTTCAGTAGCTGTGAGCCTTGTTTTTTTGCAACTTGATATTTGATGTGTCAAAATGTGTGGATCAACTTGGAGCCTTGGGCTACCTGTCATCATCCCTGAAAGGCATTTATCTGGACAGTGAACCATAGAAGACATTATTGGTGATGTCGCAGCTGGTGTGATCCTCAGTGGAGAAGGAAGTGATGAAGGTATGTGAGGAAGGCCATAGTGTGGTGGTGGTGGTATGTACAGGAAACGGTCACTGTGATTACAAACTGGTGAATAAGAGAGATGTTGTGGTAAACCAAAAGAGTTCTGTGAAGATAGCAAGCAAGTTTTATACATGCTCATTGGGTATTTGTTTGGTGAGTCTACAAAGGGGTACATCCCTGGTGCTGGGCTCTCCATGTATGGGCTAACCCAGGGAAGTCGCAAGTAACTCGGACCAGTTCCATTCACTGGAGTTTGTTTAGAAGGGCCTTCTAACCCCAGTGATTCACCTCTAGCTCCAGTAGCCTTTTGTAGTCCAGGAGGTGATTTGTACAATGTACCATAGCCTTCATGGCACTTTGTAGAGCCATTGCCATTTTCTAGTGTTTCTGGTGCACGTGATTTATAATTCAGATCAGACAATCTATCAGTCATAAATCCCAAACTGGTCATTGCAACTGCAGCCTCTTGTTCTTTTTCATTTCTGAGTCCACGTGTGCTGGGATACATAATACTATTATGGCTTCTCAGCTCTTCTTGCATTATCCCACTTCTCTCTATGCTGGCAGCTCTAAGTCTGTCAAGTTGCCTCACTGAAGCTGCATCCACCTGGACAGAATTAGACAAAGATTAATTATATTCATTCTATGTATTCATTTGCAATGTTTCAGCTTTTAATGAATGCCTTTATTCCAGATTTGGCTCATGTTCTGATACACTATATTAATGAAATGATAAAATCCATTACAAAGTATTGTACATGATGAAAAAAGCCAACCATTCTACAACTTTCTACAGTTGAACGTCAGCAAGACCGAGGCTCTCCTGATTGACTCACGCCAGCACCTCCGCACCTCAGGCACTGGCAGCATCAGCATCAGCATCCACAGATGCACACTCCACCTCACCAAGCCAGTCAGGAACTTAGAACAGTTGAGGGTCGAACAAGATGCCTTTCTCAACTGCCCCTCCTACCTCTCTGACCTGCTAACCCCTTATCAATCTGTCTGCTCCCCCCAGTCAGCAGGATCTGGCCTGCTCCATGTCCCCCACCGGTCAGGCCTTCAGCCACTCTGCCCCCACCCTCTGGAACTCTATCCCACATTCCCTTCGCCCCTCTCCCTCACTTGCCTCCTTTAGGGCACGCCTCAAGACCCTACTCTTTGACCATGCCTTTGGCCACCCTGTCTGCCCTTCACCCTCCCTGATCCCCCATTCCACCCCGCTTGGACCCTAATCCCTGACTGTTCAGCGCCTTGGGACGTCCTCCCGACGTGAAAGGCACTTTACAAATGTAATTTTGTATTGTGTTGGAAAGCACTGATGACATTACATTTTATGAACAAAAAATAAAGACTGATAAACAAATAAATTAGACAAACTGAACAGCCACAGAACAGGCTGCACTAAGTTGCTATGACTTCAATAAGTGCTGCTTCTGTGGTCAGCTCAGTAACTGTACGTTCACTGTCTGCATTCGCTGGCTGTGTGTGTGTGTATATATATATATATATAGTCTACCAACCCCAAAGTGGAGCAATGTAACTTTTTCAATGTTTGTTTGGAAAATTCAATAGGAAATGTTCTATTCCAGTTATTAAAACTCTTCAAAATCTAAACTTTGTAGGTAAGCTATTTTAGTTATTATAGTTTGATTGCGTTGCATAGAAGGGGTAAAACTTTTAACTTCTAATTTTCTTAAGTGTTTAATGTGATTAAAGCTATATTTAATATTTAAGATACTTATTTAATGGCTTGTGCAAATAATCTTTCATTGTTTTTATCATCACTTATATTCCCCAAATAGTTATTAACATGAAAATGCTTTAGACATCTTTGCAGATAATAATACTTAATATATAAAAGTGTAATTTATAAATCAAAATTTAAACATTGAAGATGTTAGTCACATGCTGCTTTAAGGTGAAAGTGATATTGCACATCCCATGTGCATGACGGGTCTTAACTGTAAACAATAATTGATAGTTTAAATTATCCCCCATTCATAGCATTCAAATTATTACTAAAAGGTGTTTTACAGAAAAATTAACTTGCTGTCAAATTCTGGGTGAGTAAGTAACCACTTACCACACCCAAGCTGTGTGCCATGTGGTTCTCTTCCCTTAATCCAAACCGCTTCATGCTTTTCTGAGAATCACCATCACTTACGGGGAGAGTCCTGCTGTAATTTAAATTGAAAGTTAACACTTTTTTTAAACTTAATACCAAGCACATTCATTTGCATTGAATATTCTAGTGTTGGTTACTTTTAAACAACCTACTTTGGGCATCATTACAACTACTCCCAAAAGTGAATCTTAACTTGCATATGTGGTATCTTTATTCATTAGGAAAATTGCTTAGGGATTTAGGAACAATTATCTTAAGGTTTCAACAACTTTTTTATTCAATAGAGGTTTCCCCATCGGGATGTAAAGCATGTTGTTTTATCTTTTGTACGGGATAATGTTAGATTACCTACTGTAGGCCAAGACTCCCTCATTATTTGAAAATTTATCTCCCACTGCAAATAAGATATTGCCATCATTTCTTGGGAGCAGATCAACAAGGACCCTTACCCTTCAAAAACTGTAGTACACTGAGTGATCTTTCCTCCCTCCCCGTCCCCGCCTGCCCATCCACCCGGTTTTATGTTAAGGGCAGCCTTGTTCCCCTAGACTTCCCCTGCTGTAGTAGGCCATTCAATTGATTTAAATTTAACAGACAAAACCTATATTTCCAAATGACAAAATGCCTTCGCGCCTGCATGATTCTGAATCTTTGCATTCAATTGTTCAGAAATGCGGGTGAGTTGGAAAGGCACCACTGAGACCAAAAGCAATAGCAGTATTATGGTGTTTTAAGGGTTTTGAAGAACTATTTCTGCTGATAAAAGGATAGCGAAGCATAAATCTAAAATTGTAACTGGAACTATGTAATTTGGTATATTCTGAAGATTTGTTTCCTCAGAATGATTTCCCAGAGGTGGCTGTTGGAGCAGAATCGATGGGGCATTTAAAAATGAATTAGGTAAGTACATGTGGAAGGATATTAGTGCATAGGAGGAAATACCACAAGATCGGGAATGGGATACATGGGAGACAAAACAATGAAACTAATACAATGAATTGAAAGGTCTCCAGTAGATTTGTTTGGCTCTATAACATGATAAAGAAAGCAGGTCAAATATGTACCTGGTTAGAAAAACTGATGGTCAGAGTAGGAGAGAGCTTTGGATGTAAAAGTTTGATTCTTCAAAGAACATGGAATACCATACCTACAGGTAATCTAACATTCTCTGTCATTTAATCAACGTTCAAATATAAATTGGAGTATACAAAAGTTGCAGAAATCTTAGTGGTGGGATTCTAAGTACCTACATTTTTGGCTACAATGAAATACAGCAGCATCAAAGAGCCTGTTTGTCTATGCTGTGAACTGAAAACAATGATCGTTACTAACAGCAGGAACCATCTGCATGTTGGCCAAAGTAATAGCCACAGATAGACTGAACTCTAAGCATCTCTGGTGGGTCTCACCATACCAGAAAATTAACACAAGTATACACTCCAATACCTAATTAACTCAATTCTACTTAGTAAAAGGTTTGTCCTAATCCCAAACAAGGCAAATATATTACTATTTGCTTAAGCACTTAGTGCATATCAAAATTTAATTTCAGCAGACAAAACAAAAGGTTGAATTATTCACCATTCATTTTTGCAAGAAAAGTTTACATTCCATGCTTATATTAATCCACTAACAAACAGCACTTTATTTATCCCAAGGAAGTAGCTAAAATTAACACTGTGACAAGAGATAATGTGAAAATTATCTTGGAAACAATTGGTTGAATTGATCTCAATAACTGCCCTATCTCGTTGATAAACAAGGTAACTTGGCTCTGCTTTTATTTCATGCAGTTCCGTTGCACAATTTGAGGATAAGGTAATCATCTTAAGTAAAAGAAACAAACTTACAGAATTTCACAATACTTTTGCAACAGCTTGCTCAGAATCAAATTCAAGTCCCACATAAGAATGGGAAACAAAAATCACAATCTCCAAGCATTTTCATGAACTAAGGATATAATGAGATATTCCCAATCGTGGCTATGGGAAGGTGATAGATAAAAATATAAGTTAACTTGGATCCTCAGTAAAATATGAGAGAATCTCCAAAGAAGCACCATGAGAAGATGTGATAACATTGCTGGCACGAGGTGACTGTTTGGTGCACTTAATTAAACGCTCATCTTTACCTGTACAGTCAGACTGATGAAGGTTTCCTTTCTGTTGGCTATAAAGATCCTTCATGTAACATGCTTGAGATATCTATCCAACCATATAGGCTTCTCTTAGCCAGATTGGAGAATTACTTATGTTTCAGGCTGACCACTTAGCTCTGTGATCTGCTAACCCTATACCAGCCTGTCCACTCCTTCCACTCAGTGGACTCTAGACTGCTCCATGTCTCCCGCCCTGCCTGCCCCACCATCAGTCATAGGGTCTTCAGCTTTTCTGACCCCATGCTTTGGAACTCCATCACATAGTCATCTTCACCTCTCCCCCTCCCTTGTCTCCTTCAAGGCCCGTCTCGAGATTTTCCTCTTCAACCTCGCCTGCGGTTACCCTCCTATACCTACCCTGCCTGGCCTCCACTCCTCCTGATCCCAACTCAGGTGCACATTCTTGACTGTCCAGCACTTTGGGATGTCCTCCTATTATGAAAGGCACTATACAAGTGGAGTCTTGTAGCTCAGTGGTTATAGCACTCGCCTCGCAAACGAGAGACCTGGGTTTAATTCCCTGCAGGGCGAAATGTTACGCAAGTTTCCTTACTCCACATGCCTTGTTTACCTAGCAGTAAGTAGGAACCCAGTTGTTAGTCGATTGGCGGATCGGATTGGCAGATTGTAGTTTGTTGGTTTTGACTGCGGTGAGCTAGTCAACTGGTCTACTCCCTTACTCAGCATCCAAACTTGCCCCCTGTAAATGCACGGTAAAACGTTACTGTACCTGAAGGGTGCTATATCAATTGTCATTGTCCAAGGTTGGTGCGTTTAGGGACTTTAAAGTAATGGATGTAAAACAACGTTCTCCCTTCATAATAGACATTACTAACTTCAGAAGCAACAATGATTTGCACCTTGATTTGCAAAAGGTCTCTTTTCTCACCTCAAACTGTCCTAACAAAAATCACTCACCTCGACTTTGGAAGCAAGCCCACGAAATGGAGGGCAAATTGCTCCTTCAGCCTCCTCTACTCAGCCATCCAGAAATCTTTTGTCACTCTGTGAAAACATCAGACCCAACCTATCCCCATTTGGAATTCCTTTTAGTAGTGATGCCCACAGTACCTAGGAGTCACTGAGTAGTAGAAGGGGAGACAGAAGTTGTGGGTTGTTTCTATTTAGGGCCCTGCTGACTGCTCTGTCAGGAGAAGTTAAACTATCCAGTTCCAAAAAGGATAAAACTCTTCTTTGGCTGAAGAACTGGCCTGATATTGTACAGTAAAACTCACATAAATCGTATCAGTTGGGATCATAACATTTTAATACGACTTACACAAAATACGAATTGCAGGCAAACTGGAGAAATCGTATAAAGTGGATTTAGTCAATAATCTACCCAGTGCATGCATAATTTAATGCAGCCAGTAAGTCTGTATGTGCTGACGGGGCAAGACTACATTTCCCGCAATTCAATGTGTCTTGATCTGCTGCCACATGCACACTTACCGGCAATAATTGGAATCGCACTGAATCACAGGAAATGAAGTTCTTCTGAGCATGCATCAACAGATCAAGACTGCATATCCCACGATTCAATGCATCCAGCCAGTAAGTGTGCATGCATCGACCAGTCAGGACATCATTTCCGCAATTCAATGCAGCCGATAATTTCGGAAGTAATGGAGGGTAGGGGAATGGCGTTACGAGTAAGGAGGTGATTAATAACAGTGCAAAGAAATCTAAGTGGTTTTGGTAAGAAACTGAATGGGAGGTGGGTGAATGTATGTATGACTTAGGTGGTTATACGATTTATAAAGATACGATTTATGTGAGGTTTACTGTACCAGACTAGTTGATCCCTAAGATGCATCTCTTGTGAACTCTTATGGATGGATTTTTTTTAAAATGGCAATACTGAAATGGTGGAACCAAAGTTAATGGAGTTATTGCAATGTATTTGCATTGCACTATTAGATAGTACCAACTAAAATGACCACTTTTCTTAGGTATCTGAGCTCTCTACTCGCCTACTACCAAGACAAATAGGTCCAATTAGAAAGCCTGGAAATTGTACCGACAGAGAAAAAAAAATCTCTTTACTGTTTTGAAATTGCTCAATGAGTTTATTCCTTATGTGGCTGAGCCGTATAGACCAAAAAGATCCCAAATGTGATCTTTCACCTGTGCTGAATGCACAGAAGTCATGGCAAAAGGGGATTACAATTGGACTTAGCACTCAGAGAGTAAGGACAGGCTAAATCAGCCAGATTCACATTATCCAGAAACATGATCTTAACTTATGGCCACGTCCTCAAACTTTAAGATGGTGCAGAAATTTAGCTCAATTTTTAAATCTAAATTCAGCCTTCCTGTAGTTTTATGAACTGCAAGTTCTCATTCAAGTTCTTTACATACATTTCTCATGAATTTCTGTATAAGAATGGCAGCATGTTGAGTCAGGGGAGACTTGACTGTCAAACTATCAGAAATGTGAGTTCATTGCAAACTCTATTTGAGAGGCCAAATCTTCAGCAACAAGGAGAGACTTGGCAAAGAAAATCACTATGTGTTAAACACTTTTCAAAGTAAAGACTGAATCAGTTTTAAAAGAGTAAATCATTTGTTAAATACAATCTTATTGGCTTTGTAATCCATTGTACTACAACTGTTGTTTTGTATTTTTTTTCTTTAAAGTTAATATTTTCTCAAGTCTGTAAAGGTTTTTTCTGTGTAGTAACATCTGCTGTTCAGAGAGGTTAGCAGTCTAATAAGCGAATAACTAAAGTCCAGTCCTCGCAATACAAATATGGGATAATTGTTAATCTCCTGGGCATGCATCTTTAAAGGCAGAGGAACAAGGTGCATATTCTGGGCCACTGGAGATAACAATTAGCCTGCGGGAATTGCAACACATTGTTTCCAACTCAATAAACAAGGTATAAGTGAGTTATGTACTGAGTCAACACTCTTCCCAAATACTCCTGCTGAGACTTAAGGGAATTCTTACAATACAAACCCTTCCTCCTATGTTCTCCTTCTTCCTACTCCTATCTTTTTTTCGCTCAGAGGTAAATGGGAAATCTGTTGACTCTTCTGCAATATCATGACTGGCAACTCACTTGATGTTCCAATACCACAAATGATGCTGAAGTAATTGTGAATCAGTGGCTTATACAAACCTGTGAGACGGTCCTCTCTGGGCCAGTACACTGGCCAGCAGGAGAGAAGCGGCAGCTACTTGAGCAATACTGTCTAGGTTATGGAATAAATTTTCAAATGACTGAGAACATTGCATTTAAACTCCTCAGAAAGGTTCCACATTTTTGGTGAGAATGTTGGTGTTAATGTGTAAATATGTAGCATTCGTCATCTTCAGTTGGGACTTGGTGTTCAAAATTGACCCAAATTGCTAACTGGGTGGTCTGGAACAGACCTTTATATACTCCAAAGAAGTCAAGACCAACCTGCATCCTCAGTGAAAATGTCTTAAGGGTGTCTTGCTGATATATTGCCTGATCCATTGTACATTTTTGGATCATTCTCCTACATTACCAAATGATTTAGATAGGTTTAAATTACTGAAATCAATTTCAAATACAGGCTAATATTTGATGATTTTAGCTTATTAAAAAAAGGACTATTTGTCAAGAATGCTCAAATAGGAGGAATTTTATGAACTGATTTATGTAGGTTATAACAAGAGGCTAATCTGCATCGTAAGGCAATATGTAATAGGATGAAGCTTAGTTGGAACTCACTTCATTTCATGCAAGAACACTAATTCCAAACTATGTGTGTAGGAGTTGAAGCAATAGTCGTTGCCAAGGGAAATCTGTGCTTGTAACATGAATCCTATTCCCTCCCCTCTCCCCTGCAATAGCAATGATTTGGTATAAACGAATCCCCGCTTTAATTAAAAAGTTACCGTACTTAGCGGGCTCATGTAAATATGACTTGTCTTACCTATCTTCATTAATTCCACACATACGGACCCGATCTGTACTTATCCAGCTAGGGAGATTGCCATACAGGGGCGTTGCAGAAAGCATGACGTCTTTTTGATTGAAACTTCCCTTCTCCACAAATTTACTCTTTAAAAGCAAACAAAAAATTGAATTACACATTTATGATATAAAATGACTCTAACAATACAGCTTTATTATAATGAACAATTAATCTTAGTCTTACAATATAATACCGTATACATTTGTATAGCACCTTTCACATCAGAATGACATTTCAGGGCTTTACACTGGGCCTGGGGGAGGTTTAAGCAGATGCCCAAAAGCACGGTGAAAGAGGCAAGTCTTGAGGTAGGTGTATTGGGTGGGGTACACGAAGCAGGACAGTCTGAGCAAAGGGATGGTTCCAGGTCATAGTTGTAGGGTAGGATGTAGTCGTGGAAAGACTTACATGATTTTTTGAATTTATATAGATCATTTTAAAGAAAATATTGTAAGCCACTATACTCTGAATTAATGTTTAGACAAACATTACCTTAATTTGATAAGTTAATGACATTTTATATTTGCATTGTACAGTATTCCATTGATATAATTTGATATTGCAAAGAATTAACAACATTCTAGTAAAACATTATTGATCAGCCATGTTTGAAAGGATGTCTTAGCAAGTAACTTGTCAACAGTCATTCAATTTAAAAATTAGTTTGGAATGGAATACACCGTTAGTCCTTGGATCTGTTGGGTCAAACAAACAGTAAATAATGCATGTTACTACACAAACAGATAAAATCCTCAAAATTGAGTTGTGCCTCTCCATCTATAATGCATTTATAATATGAACTGAGTGTTTTAACTTGTATCCTGTAAAATCACCAGTGGTAGTTCTCTGACTTATTAAAATCAGCACTGTAGTTCATGTAATGTCTGTACCAAATAGCACCATGTGATAACTAGTTGTCTTGCATGGATACGGCACAATTCATTCAAGCACGTGAGGTAACAATTGGACTAGAACTACCACCAAACATATTACCAGCAGCAAAACCCAAAAATTCAAAGCAACTCATGCTCAGCACCTACAGTAACCATAGCAACTTCTGCCTAATAATTGGCATACTATATAGTACTCTGTGGGGTGCAAGAAAAAGCATTGCTGCAATGGATTTAAACTACCTCTAAAAGGGTCCCTTATAATTTTTGAAACAAAATAATTACCTGGACCACATCCAGTACATGACATTTTTATTATAAGGTGTTGTGCAGAGGCATTTCAAAAGGACGATGCTCACCTCCTTCAGTCTCGTTTTTGCCCGCACCCTTTGGAACTCCATCTCTCAGTATCTTTGCCTTGCTCCCTCCCTTCCCTCCTTCAAAGTACGTCTCAAGACCTTACTGTTTGACCGCGCCTTCGGTCACCCACCTACCCCTATCCTCCCTGCACTCCACCCCTGCTCGGGTCCAAATCTCTGAATGTCCAGCACTTCGGGATGTCCTCCGCATGAAAAGGGCACTATACAAATGCAATTTGTTGTTGTTGGTTTGGTCAAAATACCTGTCTATGTGGCAGATTCAATTTGATGGAACTGATCGCAACAATCAAAATTGCACGAGTAGAAACTGTACATTTGGAAATTATATTCTCAGGTTTGGCCACAGATTTTTCCTAATTTTTGTGCAGTTTTGACCCAAACCAGGGCAATGCACGTCAGACAAAAATGGCAAGCAGCATCAATGGAGTCAGCACCTCGGGCTGCACTGTCACCAGGGCTGCAGGAGAAAACACCCCTTTCAGACATTGTTATTGTTGCAGTGTTGCTACCAACTGCAACCCTGACTCCTGCTGCAATACTGGGCGATAAAGGTACAAGTAAATAGAATACTGTGTAGAAAGTAGTTCATCACACATGATTTATCTCATCTCCTTTATTCATAGAATGAGCTCAATCCAATCATCACCGGGGGCACGAAATTCCTCACAAACTTAAAATTTAAGATCGTGGAGAATTTTGGAACATTCTTAATTTGGAAGCTAATCTTCCACAGTGCTTTCCAGTAGGGATCTCTGGTTAACAATCTATAGTAGGGATCCTCGTTCAATTTTCTCTTCATAACTTAGGGCACTGCTCAGTAAGATCAGTTCACTCATCACAGACTGGGATTTGAACTCTTTGTGGTCTGTATAGATAGTCTAGTGCTACAAAGGGCAGTGCATGAAGTGATACTTGGGCCTTAAAAAAACATTTTCAAAAAATTAGGTTAATATTAACCATCCTCTTTGTGTTTGTTCCATTTCTGTCATTTTCGTGAGGAAAAACAATTTCACAGTAAAGAAAGTTTTAGCATTAATATCCTTTATTTAAAAAAGTTATGAAATAATCAGTCTTTATCTTTTTCCGGGGAAACGGGGTGTTTCAAAGCATTGAATTCTTGGAATCTGGCTGTGGGGGGTGGGGGGTGTGGGGGGGTAAAGTTACTGACCCTGTAGGTGTGAATTAAGTACGGGAGTTACAGTCACCACAGTGTCCTCCAATGATCCTGTCATTTCAACTGTGCATGTTAATTAAGCTCCCTAATGCTGTCAGCCTCAGTAACTTCTCCCAGCTAGTTCCCCTAATGATCTCATCAGCACTCACTGTTTCACCAAAAAAAATTCTAAAATTAAAATCAACAGATAGACAGAAACAAACAGAATGATGTTTAAACAGAATTTCCGCTTTAAAATTCTCACTTTGAACGAATAGAACTGGCCAAAATAAATGGTTAAAAAACAGGGAGTCTTTGCAATAAATTTGTGGAGAAATTACCCAGTATTAAAACAGATTTAAGTGCTTTCACAATTATATCTTCTGAAACAAACTTTTAGTGGTCATGTGCATAATGAAATCACAAAATTTACAAATACGTTTAATTCCACGTACGCAAACCTGACAGGCAAAAAAATGCATTATCATGGCCAGCATAGTATTTATCTACAACAACAACAAGATTACATTTGTATAGTTGTATAGCATTTATCTAGGAACAAGAATGCCTGCGAATTGGCACACAAATGACACCTTACAGCAGAAATCACTGCATTCATTGCCTTTCACTTAGTAATATTCTGCTTACTCGTTTTACAAAGGATAGATATAGTATAAAGCTGAGTTCTATATGTAGTTTCCTACAATACAAAGAAAGTGTGAATTTTAAGCCTTGTGTGTAGTTGGATTATGCAGAAACAATAATTCACATTACTTAGATAAATTGTGCAAGAGGATAAACTTTTCTACTTTCATTAAATCAGAACTGTAGCACACACGTGGCTCAAATTATTTGCAATATTACTTTTTGGACCCAAATCTAAACATGCAAAATTCTCCTAAAAAACATTTTTAACCATACAAAAGTCAACACCCTGATATTCCTTCCTGCTTGATGATCACCATCATCTTTGTACGGTGCTTTGAGTCATTCCTCTGTGAAAGGTATTGTTTTTAGAAATCCTTGCACATTAAATACAGAGTGACCAAAAAGTTGTGATAAATACCTATCATCTAAAACAAAACAAAAATATCATCATTTCTTTTAGACTTATTACACATTGTAATGGTATCACTACTTTTGGTCACCCTGTAGATCTAAAAAGATATCCTATACAAGTTGAGTTTAAGCCCATGAAGAAATCTCAGGTTTTAATTTTGGTTCATACAAGTTTTTAGTTCATAATAACAAGGATCCATTACATAAATCGCCAGTCACTTCTAGTCCAGACAATTATAATTGCCCAAATTTGCAACAAGAAGTCAGCTTTGTGCAAAAAAAAAGCTGTAGATAGTGAATGTTTTAGATAATAGGGTAGTTATCACAACTTTTTTGGTCACCCTGTATTTAATGTGCAAGGACATTAAAAAAACAGTCCTTCTTTTTGGAGTCCTCTCAAACACACACACTGCTAATTACACAGTAATTTAGATACTGGACATATTTCTCTGCTTCCTAATACAGTGCTGTATGATTAATACTGCAGACTGCTATTTGCAAGTAAAGCAGCAGACAGCATCATCTTCCATCACAACTACTTAAATCATGGTAGTATTCAATACAGTGCAGAAAATCTAACACTTAAGGTTTTGATCGTTCAAGGATTATGCTAATGCTGGATAACTGGATCCGATCCAAACAAAAATGGTCCCTCAAAAGTGAAAATGGATGTTAAGACGAGTGTGCTATCAGCAAGCTGGGATAGTGCTGCTCATTCCAACATTCATCATTGTGGGTGGCTGTACCAATTGACTTTGGCCTACCGCCGACACACTAAGGCTTTCCTGTCAAATTTCTTTATTTTATATTTTAACATGGTTTAAATTCAACTATTCTTCCTCTCAAAATTTCGTCTTGTGTTTATTTATTAATAGTAACTATAAACAGCAAAATGCATTTACAAAATTTACACCCTTTTGGGGAAGGAAGGGTACCGTAATGGAAAACTTCATTAAAAATTAAAGGCCCACATACACTGTGCTCAAGGGGATCTCCGCTCCTCCTGGAGTTTCACATGTGGTTGTGGTTTACGCATAAATGTTGCATTCTTGTGTGTTGGAAAATGTGTGTAGTTTTCTCACTCTCTATCCCAGCATTGCCCTTTTTTCTTCGATTAATTCTGCTCTTGTTAACAACAACTTGTATTCATATAGCACTCCTCACACAGGGTAGCGAGTTAGAGCATTATTAACCATCCTGAGTCCCCTTTGGCCCATTACGTAACAGTTTTACCCTTTTCCTATTTGTCTGACGTTTACTCCCAGGATTATTTTTTGGAAGATACCGTATTTTAGAATTCTGTTGACTGCATTTGTGATGTTTACAGTATGTCAAGTGGAACAGCAGTTACAGCTTTGAATTGAGTTTCATATCTGTGAGTCAGAGAGAGTTCCTGCACCTGATCCAGCAATGTCCCAAAAGTGAATAACCAATTTTATTTGGGAGATTGTTGGCCAGGACAGCAAAAGAAACTCCTTTCTCTTTTCAGATAATGCCATGAAATCTTTAACATTCACTTGAACAGGCAGACGGGACCTTGGTTTCATCCGAAGTACAGCACCTCCAACAATGAAATACCGCCCAACTCTGCATTGGAGTGTCAT